CAAGTGTCCAGAGTTTGACAGTGCCTGCAGGTATGAACCTAGAAACAGGAATCAAAGACAACACCCACAGGTCTGGGTGACAGGCAGGACCATAATGTTATCCATGTTGCTTGAGAGATCTAGGTGGAAAAGTCTTGTTTGAGGCATGTTGAGCATTACCTGATAGCTGATCTTCTCCAAGGAGACATTGTGGGGGGACAGGAACGCCACAGAAGTGGGACTCACATGGTGTATGCAGGTGGTCTCTGTGGCATCAGCACAGGGGCAGAACCTGAATTTGGGTTTGCAGAGAAAATTATCAAAAGATATGGAGTAGAAAATTAAGGGACAATGACCAAAAGTGAATCCCTTTCAGCCCCAAAGAAGCATTAGGACCTGTTCTGAACTCTGTTCTCCTTACACAGAGCTAAACTGGGAAAGCCCATCTCTAGTGCTTGGAAAAGTACTTCCAACAAAGTAACTGTGCTCTCCCCAGCCACCATGACCTCCCTTTTCAGATGAAATAAAGCAATGGAAAACAGGATGACATCTCCAGCAAACATGATTTTACAGCACAAGCCTCATCACTCATCCTTCTGCACTTATTGTAAGAAGAGTATTTTTGTTGTTTTAAATGGGGAAAACAAACAAAGGAATCCATTCCACAAAACATGTCCCTGTCCTTCACCCACAGAAACACTCCTAAAACACAAGGTTTGGAGCCTGTGGCTTGAGAACTCCCTTTCAAGTCAGTACCCACACTGAAGCCTTGGCAGGGCAAAGCACCTGAACCGGTGCCCACTCTCTGCTGTCACCCCAAATTTCCTCCTCCTGCCCTCTTTCTAAACATTGCCTCACCCTCAGAAAGTCCCCCGTGGAGAAACAAGCCCAAATTCAACTTTGGCTCTATGTAAATTACAAAGCAGAGTATTTGCCTGCTCGCTCAGCCCCATCAATCAGCCCTGTCTGAGGCGGCAGGAGTCTCAGTGACGTGCAAGGAGTGATCCTGAGGTTGCTGCTGCAGGCGGATGCTGCAGGTGCCAAAACAGCCGTGGCATGGTACCTGCAATTACCTGATGCTCCAATTCCTGCCATGTTTTGGCAACACTCACTGTGTCCAGTCCCACTTCAAAGCTGCCTCTGTGCTTTCAGAATCACGGTTAAGTGCTCTCTTTAATTACTGTGTGTTTCCTGTATGTTTTTAATCATCATCATTAAAGGATTGAACACAACCCACTGAAATGGTGAAGTGTAAACATGAGCAGTGATTATTCCAACCTCTTTGCTGGTTTCAGGTAATGATCATGTTATATATTTAAAGCTGCTCCTTGGTTTATATAGTCTGTTTTAGGATCATGTTATCCCAGGCATTTCTAGTTAAGGGCAACTAAAGGTTAAGGTAGGAGAGGGGGAAGCCTGTTTTAAAATTATTTTAAAGGCTTTTAGCTATTTAAAGTCAGTGCCTGTGACCTGTTAAGAATCAGCAAAGATGAAGACATCTGCCTTATGCTATTTCTGAGTAAACAGATCTGCTGCAGAACTAGAAGACAACTCGGAGTTGAAATTTCAGTTTAATTTATGGTAGACACGCCACTGGAACTTCTCAATGTAGAAACAGTTCTGTTAGTTTTAATCAAGCTAACATGGGTTAGAAGCACTCCAACACAACAGCCCAGCACTCACAGTTGTGCTAATATTTGCCCTAGTTTTCAAAAAACAAGTGGGAGAGGCAGGGAAGAGCTGGTCATTAAGGCATGGCTTGGAAAGGGCCTCCAAGGCCATGGGGCAGTCCCTGCTGACCAAGCCTCCCATGCAATAACAGAGACCTTTGTTGTCCTCCTCAGCCCCTTCTCCCATAAACAAAGTACAGGAGATGCAGCTTTTCCCACTTAATTTTGTATCCTGATCCCATTTTTGGCCACTCAGCTGACAAGGCCAGGCTGTGCAAAGATAAATAATCCAGAGCTCACCTTCAGCTCGCCTGCCTGCCATCACAGCCACCCCAAACATTCAGGTATTCTTGTTCTGGGACTGTCCCAAATTTTGCCATTCCAAATCTGATTCATCTGTCCTTCAGCAGCCTTCCAAATCCTTAGAAAATGCTAGAGGGATTAAACACATGAAAAACCTGCCCAAGTGCTTTCTGTTGGATAATAAATATCTATATACATCACTTAATGCACAGCAAGGATGGTTGTGAGACAGATTGGCTGCTTTTGCTTTAACTGTTACACGAAACACCTCACATTTGCCATGGATGCAAACAGGAATGTCTGACTCTGTGTGTCTAACCCTAAGCTAAAAGCTTTCCTGAACAAAACTGTTTGAATTGTTTTCCACAGGAGACATGTATTGTTTGGTGTTTTGTTGTTTCACTACTGTCTTGTTTGTGTTTTTAAAACACAAAAATTTTTAAAATGTTTTAAAAACACAAACAATTTTAAATTTTTTTCCTTGATTTCCAGTGAAATACCAGACATGGCAAATGATTGTTGACATGGTTTTAAAACCTTGTGACTTTTTTCTTTCATTTATTTTTCTTGGTAAAATACAAAGGAACTCTCTGGCCACTGGAAAATTTGAAATAAATATAATATTCGCAAAATACCTTCTGAAAAAATTTTTGATGACCTTCCACCAGACCCTTTCCCGTTTATCCTTGCCTCTGATGTGGAGTTCTTGGGTGACCTCATGACACAATTTTCTGTGCCACCATTCCCTATTTGTCGAGATAATAGTAATTCTAGTCTCCAAATAAGTGATTCTTCATAAGGAAAGTGACAGTTCATCATATTGAAGGTTACTGCAAAAATATATCAGCTTTGAATAATTACAGTGTTTGTGGGAAATACTTCTCCAGTTCAAGATGGAGATTCCACTGAAAAAAACAAACAAAAACCATTCAATCAACATTCGCAACAGTGAAAATAAAACCCCCAAAGCAGGCTGTTCCAGAATATAGCAAGGCTTTGTTTTTCACCACCTCTCTGGCAGAAATATCAGGCCAAGTTTTGGCCAGGGTTGCAAAGGTGGATTTTCATTGAAAGCACACCAACACCGCCCATGACATCCAATATGTAAATGAAAATCATTAGGCATGGGCTGCAGGCAGGCTGACTCCCACTTCCATGGGTGCAGTCCAAGGCATGTCCCAAACTGCTGCACAAAGCTGGCAGCAGCACGCACAGCTCCATCCACCCCACTGCCCATCGGCCATCTGTGCCCACAGGTGGGGATGGGAAGAAAGGCAGGCTCCACCCTGTTCCCAAAGGATGCCTTCAACCTTTTCCCCCAAGTGAAAAGAGCTCAGCCAGGCTCACAGTCCTCAATTCATAAGTGTTCATCTATGAAATCGGATTCCCACCCCTCTCCACTAAGAATCTGCTATTTCAACGAAGCACAAGATGTCAGGATTTTTGCCAACACGAGCACAGCTGTCAAAATCTCATCCTTGGAAAGAATCCCAGATAGACACATGTTTTACCCCAGCCAAAATGGTCAAACTTTGCAGAGAAACATTCAGAGAGGAAAAAGGTTCCATATTGTCACCGCGCTAGCTTGGGATTGCTCACAGCCAGACAACTGGGATGTGGTGTTTTAATAGCTGAACCATTAAAAGCAACAGGCATCTTGCTATTGACAGCAATAAGAACAGATTCAGTGCCTTTGGCACAAGATTATCAAAAACAGCATTGCAGGAAAGGAAATAAGCTTGTTTGAATTTGGGAGACAACAAATGAAGGGGAAAATATGCTTGCAATTTTCTATTTTTCTAGCATGTTTTTTCCTAAATAACTTCAGCACTTTTGCCTGGTGTTTCCAAATGGACTCTGAGGAGTGTTGGGTTTATGCTGTCCTTGGATTCATGTCCTTTCAAGCCCACCTGAAAATCCAAGCCTAAGAGAACATTTTCTGTCCAGCCTCAACAGAGCAAGATTCCCAACCCCCTGAGCAGGGGCACATCAGCCTATTTATTCTGATCTGAGATGTGAGGAGAACAAATGACTTTGCTCAGGTCGCAGGTAGGGGCAGTGGCCAAGCAAACAGAGGCCCAGCAATGCCCTGGTCCTTCCTGCAAATGAGACCTGTATATCCTGCCTTTCTTAGCATGGCCCACAGGCAAGAGGTGAATTCCTACAGCTGAAGGGGTGGGGAGGGGAGGTGGCATCAGGAACAGCAACCATTATCCTCTTTACTGGAAAGTGTGTATCTGAATGGCCAAATTTACTAGCTGTTCAAGATCTTATGAGATTTATGAGGCTCAAGAAAAAAAAATTTATTAGAAAGACATAAAACTTCAGTGGTTTGAAATGGAAATGTTTGCAAAGGACTTGGGATCAGCTGGTTTCAATTGCAGGCCTGTCTGAAGCAGGGAGGGCTTCACTTCAGGGCTGAGGACCTCAAATCTCTCCCACCCTGACCCTCCCAAGACAGCCAGAGATTAAAGCTGCTTGGAGAGCCAATGCTCCATCCTAGGGAGGAGCTGTGGTACCCCAGATAAAGGAAACACACAGATAATGGAAATGATGAGGAGCACATGGCAGAGACACTCAAATCTTCTTGTGCAAACCAGCCCAGTCCTGCAGGGTCAGTCCTGAGCTCAAGCTAATGGTACCTGGTGAGTCCAAACTGCTCCCTGATCCTGCTGCACCTCACCTGGATGCTCTTCATCCTGCAGGACTTATTAAATTGCAGGGAAAGCCAAACCTGAGCCATCTTCCTTCATTTACACCCTGCTGGGAGCAGTACAGCCGGATCTCCAGCCATGCAGAGCTCCAGGGAGCACAGCAGGGACACCTGCATGGCTGGGCCTTTTAAAGGTTCTCAGCAAAGGCACCAACCTCTCTGCACCCTGCTCCTTCTTTCCCTCTGCTCCCCCCTGGTTCTGACAAAGCACATTGCCCCAGGCAGCCTCTGCTTTCACAGAGGCAATCCCAAATTCTAAACTCCATGAAGAAATCTTAGCTCTGCCCCGAACTTGACCCAGTGCAAAACAGAAACTGAATTCCCCTGCAAGCATTAACAGACAGGACACCGGAACATTTGGAAAATGTTGGTTTTACCATATCAGAAGCCCAAAACCACATTACACACATCTCTTAATGAGGGTAATAAGCTTTAACTTAACAGCCTCTGAGCTGAGCTCATCATCCACTTAGAGCAATCCTCCCTCCAGTGCCTTGTAGGGCACCCTGGGATGGGCTGGCCAACATTTCACACCTTTGCATCTGCCAGCATTTGTTTCTGGCTCCTAAACAAACACAAAACACGCTGAAGATTTCCAAAGGGTATCCAGAGGGGGCCAAGAGTTGGTTCAGATGCTGCTGATGAGCTTATTGCAGTGCTTACCCCCCTCCTCACCTTACAGGATGCTTAATGACAACGGGCTGCTGTGGGATTCACACCTACAGCTCACAACTGTTCTGCTGAAAGGTGCATGGGGCTCCTTCTGCCGCTCTCCTCTTCCTGAATTACCAGAGAATATTTCCCTTCCTTCTTCCTTTTGCTTTACCTGCTGTCCTGCAGACCAGGTGTGCAGATACTCACTGGAGACAGCCAGGGAGCTCCCAGTTCATAATCCTCTTCCCTGGGACTGCCTTCACCCCTAATTCAACACACTCCATTCTAATACATAGGACAGTTCCTTTATGCAAAGGCCACAAGGACAGCAGTGCTGTTGGTAAAGGATTTCCCCAGCAGATCAGCTCTGAGCTCCTGAATGCCAGCAGGCTCATGCTCAACAGTGCCACATCACAAAATGCACTTTGTCCATATTCAGTGTTGCTGTCAAAAGAGGCAGAGTTTCACATAATTCTGCTCACTCGTGTATGTCTCAGGGAGTGATTTTTGGCTCACCTTCTCTAGCTTGCAAATTACTTACAGCACTTACTTGTGTACTGGTGTTTAGAAAATCGTCTTGATCTGTTTCAGACATCCCACTTCGCAGCTTGTCCTGATAGCATCTCCCAGGAGGAAAGACCACAAACTCACCTTGCCCTGAAAAAAGGCATATTTACCTTTTAGAATGAACATCAGCTTTATCTTTGCATGATCTCTTACCAGACAAGCATGGTTATGAGCCTTTTCTGGCTCTGAAACCAGTTTACTCAGGTAGTTTCACTGAGCAATTAGGTTTTGAAACACAGAGACAAACTTCACAATGTATATATAGCAGCAGTCAGGAGCATCTCACAGGCTGAGCCAATGCTTTTTTGATCAAGATGTCTATAGAATTGGGCAAACATATCTCCTCTAAAACATATTGCTTCAAAATCTGTACGTTTTGATAGGGCAATGCAGGTTTGTGCCTAGCTCAGAGTACTCTGGGTTATGATTTCTGCCATCAGCAGCATCAATGCGAGCTATTGTCTGGGAGGAAAGACAACTCTGGCTCTCACCTCCAGCTCAGTGCATGACACAAAGCATTTGCTGTTCACCCCCCAGAGATGCAGCTCAGTGCACATCAGGCTGTGGCTGTGGTCCTGCTGTAGATTCTCCAAAAAGGTAAATAATGACATAGGGGTGCTTGCCAAGGGATTGTGTCCCCCCCAGGGCTCCCATTCCCTTTTCCTTGTCTATAATTTCAGAAGGAAAGTTTGTTACTAACACAGTGTTGAAATTAGCTAAGTTATCTGCAATGCACTGAAATGTGAACTGCTTCTCATCACACAAATCCTAAAATTAATCAAAGTTCACTCCCCTGTGTCCATAAGTGGCCATCCCTTGGTCTGAGAAGGTTATCACCAACTTTTTTTCTCATTTCTTCAGTAATATGGAAACAGGTTTTAATTTCTTCCCCTCCACATTTCACTAAATTCAGATTTTTTTGCTAAATTCTTTAGATGAACATATTTCAGCCAGCAGGCTGCTTTCAAACCCTCCATTTTGATTACTGACCACAGCACCAGGCATGATCCAGGACAGGTCCTGCACAACTGCTCACTTGAGACATGCAGGGCTGTTCTGTTCCTGGCTTACAGGAGCTGTAGCTACACTTGGGAGGAGAATTTCAATAATTCACAGGCAACTACTGGCTAGAGCAAATTAATCTTCTTTTCTGTGAATTTCCATTAATAGAAAAGTAATGCTGATATGAATAAAGTGGAAAAGGGATGTGACTATAGAAGTTTTTGTCCTTGATCTCATTAATATTTCCCAATGAAAACACACACACTATTTTCACTGTAGTACTATCCAGCCCATCAAAAGAGTTCAATGTAAATGTCTATTTTTTACTCAAATATGCTTTTATGTTGTTTCAACATTAAAAATTAGAGTACATTATAAAGCATGTGTGCATATTTATGCTTACCTGACTATAAGCTATCTTTATAACTGTGTTTTTCAAATACTGCATTCATGAACAATGATGTACTCAGCACTATGAAAGACATTGCACTGTACATTTTTAGAAATTTAATGCACTTCTATAATCAAATTTAGCCTTTTTTAGCTGTTCTGTATTTACCTGTGTATTTTTCAGACCTTTGACTAAATGCCCATACTTTATCCAATTAGTTAATGAGCAATATCATTAGAAAGGAATTGCTATTTTTCACAAACCTGAGAAATTATGAACACTGAAATAAGAAATAATAAGAAATGAGAAAGAGATAACCAACTTCAAGCCTCTTCATAGTATTTGGTAACACACAGTGCTGTTAACATTATCTCCAGTATTATTCTTTCTCCCTTTATCTCCATCTCAGAAGGATTTGCAGCTCAGGTCACTGTAATACATTGCACTCTAACACGTTGTGCCTGAAATTTCCAGTAAGGCACACAGCTCTTCTTGGCTTTCTACAGGCATCAACTGCTAAGTCTTTCAGGCCTGTCTTTAAATTTCAGCCTTTAATGCTGCTGGATATCACAGCACAGATATGGATTTACTACCATAGGTCTCTTTAACCAACTGAAAATAAAGCATGACAATATGGCATTGCCACTTTGGGGGATAGGCAGCTACAAAGGAGATGGATGAGACCTGGAAATTGATTCTTTGAAGAACACCAGGACATAGATAGAGGGAGAAAAATAAGAGGGGAAGAGAAAGAGGAACTGATTTGTAAATGTAGACAGGTCCTTCTTTAGATATCATTCAGGGGATAGCTGGTTTTACTGGTCAGATATAGTTTGTCTAATGTGACTTCACAATCATGTTCACCCCTTAAAATACCTTGGTTGTATGAGACAAGAGATGAGTCTCTAAGAGGCTGGCAGGGTGAAGAGAGGATGAGAAGGAGGGAGACAGAAAGTCAACAGATCAATAAAAGCACTTTAGGATAATGGCTCTACCTAGAGCAGAGAAGGTCTGGATTCCAGGCCAGCCCAGCACTGCCAGGAAATGTGGGTTTGCTGGAGTGAAATGTTGAATTCACAGTGCCGTGGCAGAAGGTGAGGTTCTGGCTCTGCCCCATCCTGTTCCAGGGGTGATTTTCCCCTTCCTGCTCATCCTTGAGCTCAGACTGAGTGCTCTTCCTGAGTGTGGTCAGCAGGAACAGAAGCAAGGAGCCCGTGGGTTTGCAGCTTTTTGGAAAGAAAGACACTAAAAGAAAGCACTAGGACAGAGGGCAGTGAAAAGCTGGGGCACAGAGGTATAAGAACTTTGTTTCCCCTTTCCCACCTTTTGTTTTTTCCTCACGAGAAGTAACATGGAGACAACAAAGAGCCTGAGTTAGGTCAGGGATGATGTTCCAGGAGTCAGCTCCAACGCGCTGCATCTGGGCACCACCTCCAAGAGACTTCCCAACTCGATGGAATTTTATTACAGTAAGGGCCCCATCTACTGCCAAAAATTTGCAGTGAATCAAACCACATATTAAAATATCTTTTCTTTCATTGAAAGATTTTGATTAAATAACTCCCAACCATTCTGCTGCACTTTTCATCTTTCATTGTCATCCCCACAAATGAAAGAGCATCCATGAGCAGCAGCCAGCTTCACCACATTGCAATTGAGCGCACTCATGATGTACAAATCAGAAAAGGATGCCCATGGGCCAGGAAAAACTAAAACTCCTGCAAAGTTTACCTTCTTACTGTACAACCTGAACTTAAAAACCTTCCATACAGCACAAAGATTTGGGTTGCTCAGGAGCTTGTAACAACATATGTGAAACCTGTAATCTTATTAACTGGGGCACAAAATAAAGTGTTGGAAGCAGAAGAACTGAGACCTGAGTAGAAGAAAAAATACTATTTTCAAATGGAACAGAATATTTATACTAACAGAGGTGGTGAACTATGGGGGCAAGTCATGCACAAGGTTTAATTTACACAGTTTAAGCTACTCTTAGGCTGGTGGAGTATTTTAGAAGCTATCAATATTTTTCAGGAGAACTTTTTTTCCCATTAGCTCAACAAAAAAGTTCACACAAGTGGATGGCCCTGTAGGCTGATACCTAGGATTTCTGCTAGGTGCCAGCACTTCTGCAGGAAGAACCTGAATTCTCTGCAAGGTGTAAGAGCCTGGCAGGAAGCAAATGGTGAATTCCTGCTGCAGAGCTGCCTGTGCAGCCACCCCCACACCAAAAGAAAGCAGCAGCTCTTTTCTCAAGACCAGGTAAGGGAAGCACAACAAATTGAGGAGAAACTGTAATAAGAGAAACATCAAAGATTGTTTCTTTTTAATTACCCTTTCTCAGTATCTTTGCTCATCAGCTGGAACTCCCCGTTGCTTTTTTAAAGTAAACAAAACAGCAAGGGTTTTTAATGCTGACCCACCTCACTCCTTTGGTCTGACTAATTGCTGAAACTGGCCATAAATTGTGCATTTTGTGACACTCTGAATAGCCTCATTTATTCTGGAGGGCACACATCTGTTTTTGTGCGCACACAACACACGTGCGCACTTGCACAAACACACCCCTCTGTCCCACGGCTGGGGACAGCCCGTGTACAATTTCAGCCCCATATTGAGATTTGGCTGGTGCTGAGGTCCCTGAGGCTGAAGAGAAATAAAGCTCTCAGAAGGGAAATGGCATGTAAACACAGCTCTTATGTTCCTCTGCATGGAAAATGTTCCCTTCAGACAAGGCTGGCGAAGGAATCACATGAGGAAGGTTGGGAGTGAGCTGCTTGCAGCAAGGTGGAGAGAAACACTGCAAAATGCATCTGTGCTTTCTCCTCTTGGAGTATGCAGAGCCAGATTCCCCCTAGCCTGGATAGCCAGCAATAGGAGAGCACAGCCAGCCAGGGCAAGGCATGGTGCTGAGCCAGGCAATGGCTGTTCAGAGCCTTGAGTCGTGTTTCTGACGTGAAAAAAAATTGCACTTTGCACATATATCAACATACTGTAAATCTTAACGAAGAAAAGTTCTAACCAGCCTTTCTAGCTTCTTTTTTCCCCCTCTCATAAAGCTGAGTAACATGTAAGTAATACTTTCATCATGGTTGCTCCAACTGCTTTAGATGTAACAGTCAATAAATAGGCTAGTAAATTTTAATCAGCACTCTCTCTCATATGCACAGGTCCCAACTTGTTGCTCACTTAACACCTAACCTATTTTTTTAAACTCAAACTCCACTATTTTTCATCAACACACTAATGACAGACATGGAGGAGGGGGAGGAATTCCTCCCTGTGTGTAATACACATTTCTGATGAACAGCAAGGCAATGGCCTTGGTTCTCTGGCTCAGTGGGGGCAGGAGCAACCTAAGCCCTTTCCTAGGGCAATTTGGAGCCTTTTCCCCACCTCCACCTTCTCCTTTTCTTCACTGCTCCTGCAGGAGGCAGAGGAAATGGCTCGGAAAACAAGAAGGGATCTACATGTAAGTGCAGAAATTCATTGGGAAGATGTTCAGACGTCTTCACTCAATTCACACAACCCTCCATTAACACAGAAAGGAGAATTTCTCAAGAACTCTGACAGCACAAAACATTTAAGGGGTTTCATGGGGTTTTGTCTTTAGTTTTCAAGAGGGATTTTTTTGTTCTTTATTCCTGGTGGGAAAGATTGCGCCTTTAATTCCATAACCATAAACTAAATAATATATCAGAGTTTTGGGTTTTTTTTTTTCTGTCAGGCATAGCAATGGTACTGAATGTATGCAAAGTTTCCACTAAAGGTTTTTGTAACTTAATTTTCCTCCAGAGATTAGAGGAAGCCAGATATTCTGTTTCTTGCTGGAACTTGGCTGGTAGCCACGCTGCGCTCCCTTTCCCTGTCATCCATCCCCAGCCCCCGGCACTGTTAATCAGATGGATGTATCTTCCCTATATTTCTCCTGTCAAGCTATTAAGGGGATAGGGAAGAGAGAAAGAGGAGAATCAGCTGAGATATAAACCAGCCTGGGTCCCAGAGTGCCTCTCCCCCTGCTCAAGGTTGAGCTTGCTTGTGTGACTGCACACCCTCCTGTCAGAGGCGCTTTCCTGCCCCTAGACATGGCTGAAGTTTGCTTCCCAAATGAAGAGGCAATTCAGAAATTCTTCTGCATAGAGCCATCACAGCCCTGTAAAAACACAAAGTTGCAGCACTGAGAAGGAATAAAATAAAATATCAGAGCATGGGCTGTAGGGTGAAGATGTTCCTCTCTGGCCACGCCGTGCCCCTGCTCGCCTGGGGGAAGAGCAGCCTTGGCTGAGGCTTTATGGATGTGATAGCAGAGAGTTATCACAACTGCCTGGGTTTTGGCAGCTTCCTTTGCTAGGGAATTCCTGGCACGTGCTCAGGGCCGAGTGAAGGTGGTTAGCTGGAGAAAAAGCTTTGTAAGGTTCAAAAAGAACCCCCAGATCCAAGTCAGGTTTAGGGCTGCAAACACTGATTTTATCGCATCGCTCCCTCCTCCTCTGCCTTTGAAGCAGAACAGAAATGCTCAGTCCAGCACACTCCATGTCTGTGGAGAGCTTTGCCTCCCATTGAAATGTTCCATGGGGACCCCCTATCTTCACTAGGAGACAAAATTAACTCCCCATTCTGGATATCTTAGGACTTTGAAAATAGCTGGATCCCAGCATTTTTGGCTGGGTCTACCTCCCATCCTTGTACATATCAATAAATGAGGAAAAAAAACCTGGCTAACACGGCTCCCACACATCAGAAACAACAACTGTTGCATGATTTTGGCCTAGGCTCTGTCTTTGTAACCAACCAGGTAACAAATAATCAGGAATACCATGAAAATACTCAATTTTTCTAGTAATTTGAGAGGCTGTGGACCTGAGACTAGGCCCTGATCTCCAGCAACCAACTGCACAGAGATTGATTTTATATCAGGCAAGTCCACTTTGCTGACCAGTTTGATGATTTTAAAAAGCACTTAGGTTTTTAAGAGACACTCAGTGAGGTAGGGGCTCACCTGAGATGTTTTGGAAAATGCAATTTAGATGTAAAATAGGATTTACTTAGGTAATCCCTAAATTGCTTTGAAAAGAGAATGTTCATGTCTAGATAAACATCTCTGGATAAGCATGATGGCACAATGGGTCCCTGGACAGATTGTTCTTCTAAATCTGTGTTTAACAAAAAGGAACATCACATTCACTTATCAATAGCCAAGTTTCTTATGCAGGCAAAACGTTCACTCATTTCACAAAGACTCTCAGTTGAAGAAATGAGATGACAACTTCTGAGTGCACCTTATTGGTGTGTTTACTCTAGCCATCCTCTGGCTATGGTTTTGGACATGCTAATAAAATCAGGCCCTTCTCTTTGGATTTTTGGGGCTTTTTTTGTATCTAGAAAGGGAAAACAAAGGCATTTCTATTAGCAACAGAGCTAGAGAACATTTAACAGATATGCAGCTTGCATTTCTAGATAAATGTTTGCAATGAGTCCACATAAAAGGAGGTGAGAAGGAGCACAGGAATGTGTGTGCGTGCCTGAAACAGCAGCACACCTCCACAGCAGACTTGGGAGGAGGAAAGGTGCCACTGAGCTCTTCTCACATCCTTCTACATTCCAGGGAAACTCAGCTCTCCTGTTCAAACTCACCTGCTGGAGCCTCCTCCCCAGCCAGGCTGCCCTTGCTGCAACCTTTTGTCTTTCACTCGCCTTTCCCTCCTTTATCTCTGTTCTATAACCATTATCTCCATCAGCATAACTCCTTAAGATACACCTAGACATCATTTGGCCAATGAATGCATTTCACACAACATTAGTCATATTGTACTGTGGATAATTTTTATGATATTGCTGTGCCTCTCCTTGGTGCGTTGTTACAGTTTAATTTGTACATATTCTGCTGCTGATGTAGTGTCACTCAGCTGTAACCAGAGAGTGCATGATGGCTTTGTATTATTGCAACAAATTTTCCCTTAAAAAAAACAAGAAAAGAAAAAAGAGAAAGAGAAAGAAAGAGGGAGAGAGAAAAAGAGACAGAGAAAAAAAAAAAAGGCAAGGGAAAAGGGAAGAGAAAAGGGAGGGTTATTTCTTAAGAACATATTTGTCTGCTTTCTAGGATTAGTGAACTGCAGACAGGCTGTCCTGCAGGGTCAGTGGAGAGCCAGATCTCAACTCTGCCCCGCAAAAAAGGATTTAGATTCAGGGTTACATCTCAGGCACATTACATAAATAAGTATCTGCTGAAAATTTGTGTTTTGAACCAATTTTCCACAAAGTTCAGGGTGAGGGTTTCATATCTGCAAGAATTCTTCAGACCCTGTCCAGCTACTCATCTTTACCAGATGAGCTAATACCAGTTATCTGCTTCCCTTCCAAATGGTGATGCCCATTCTGTGGTTGGAGTTTAACGTTACAGATCAATTTTCAGCCCCAGGCATCAGTTTTACATTTAGATGTGCAGGGCAGCTCTGCTGAAGCCTCTCAACAGTTCTGGGTATTCAGCAGCCCATATCAGCATCTACACAAAGCACTGGCCACACTGTTCTCAGTGCATCTGCTCAGTGATAGAGTTTCCCATATGGAAATGTTTTGTAAAAATAAGGGATTACTTGGAAAGACACTGGGCTAACCCTGCTGAGTATCTGCTTTTCTTCTTCTCAGTTCTCCAGCGTGGAACATCACTGCTGGTATTTTGGACAGTGACCATAAGGTCATAAGACTGAGAAACTGAGACTCCCTCAGCTCTTTGTTTACCTCTGAGAGACAAAACAACTGATAATTTCACCTAACAAGCAAGAGTTGTGCCTAATTCTTTAAAAAAAGCTAATTTATTTTGAAGCAGCTGAGCGTGTCCCACATGTTTGAACCCAGCCTGACAGAAAACATTCCTTTGAGCAATGACAACTCACTCTTGTCACAGCCAGCCACAGTGTAAACCTTTTTTTCACAAAGCTAGGGAACATATCAGAGACACCTGCATGTACAGGAGGCTTCTCCAGGTGAGTCTGACACCTGGGAGGCCAAGCCAGGGACCCTCCTGCTGCCCACAGAGCCCTGTGTGGGTCCTCTGCTTTATTTCAAGTGGAGAAATGAGTAGAGTAGAAGAATGAATGCTTCTCCCCAATGTCTGTGACATTCTTCCACACAAGAACAAACCCAGGCCATGCCAAAATTGAGGAGTTAAAATGGCCATAAGCACTTGGCCCATACAGAAGTTCTTATCAAGCTTTGCCCCTGTGAATCAATCCTTTCAATTAAAGTAGCTGGGGGGATATAATGATGTTTTTATTTGCAATTATAGCTTTAAATTAGGATCAATAGAAGCAGCTACAGCCCTGCCATGCCAACAGTCCTGAATGGTTCATAAGTTTTCAGAGAACACATTCCTAAAATAAACTCGTTTTCTCTTAAAAATAAAATAAGAAAAGGACTTAGACCTTAGTGCAAAAGAAAAACTCGAGGAATCTTACTTGATTTTTATTTTGTTTTTAGACATGAAGCCAGCAAGACCTTCTTCCCTAGGGTTGCTTTCCCTGTGGAATTTCCATGGTCACATCTGGAATAATGCAGGTGAGCACCCAGCCAGGTCAAAGCTGACTCTGTCACAAGAGAAGAGGAAAATACACAGCTATTAGCTGTCAACCTGTGTTTCTGACTTCTTCAGTGTAAAATTGTGTTTAATAAGAAGTTTGTACTATAGAAAACTTTTACTTTTTTTGATAGACTCTTCCAAGTAAAGACTCTGTATAGCAAAAGATGCAATGCTTTCATCTTGCACAAACTGTGGTTATAAGAAAAAAAAAGACTTTATTAAATTTAAATTTTAACAGTTTTCTAGGAAATTGAGGCTCGCTACCTTAGTTTTAAGAAACCAGTAGAAAAAAGAAAAAAAAGTAAGCCTGTATCAAATGAGAGCTTTTCTGAGAATGAAATTACAACAAAAGAACCTATTTTTCATGAGTTTCAAATTTCCCAGCATATTTCATAGTTGTTGTACAAGTTGGGGTAATATCTGCTGTGATTTATAGAGGAGCGGCGCTGCAAGAAGCCTCCCTTCTAATTATAACTGGTTATGAGGTACATCACTCATATCAGCCTGAAATTTACTTCCATCTCAAACATGAGCTTTTTTCCCCCTGTTTATTGTCACAAACTGGCCACAGAAATGCTGATAAAGACTTTACAGAAAATGCTATTAACTTAATCCCTTCCTAGCTGAGGTTCCTTCTTTTAACACAAACTTATTTTGAGTCTTTGTTTAGGCGTTGCAATGTGCCAGGCAGCAAACATTATCTCTCATGGAAAGTTGTGCAATGAAAGCCTTTCCCGTTCCATAGGCTCCATTAGGCAGAACTGACTTTGACAGAATGTGCAAAGGAACCTATAAATCCAGTGATTCCCTCCACTTTTACAGGCACTGTGTGCAAAGGCTTCACACGTGGAGTAGATGTTTCATTTGAATGCAAAACATGCTAAAATTTGTACTGAAAAGCACTTAGGCTTTAAAAACATGCCATAATTCTAAGAAGAAAAATGCCTGACATATTTTTTGGCTGATTTCAAATTCATATATATTTTAAATGATCTATAGAGCCTAAGCTGTGCATTTTATACAACAGAATGATAACCATTCCCATTGCCCTCCATCTAATCCACGGATGGTCTTGATTTATTAGCCAGTCGTGCATAGTGCACTGCCCCTCCCGAAATTCATGCTGTAATTTTAATTTCTGTTGTTGCTGCTGCTGCTATCTGGATGCAGGGCTTGCCATGAAGATAGCATGGGCTTACCCTGTAAACATAATTGATGCTATGGAAGATAATGATTTAGGATATCATCCATCTCCAGTACAGCTTGCCATTACGTGACTTGTTCTTGCAGGTATCTGATTTGTATCATAGAGGAGCTGGCTTGATTGCTGTTTTGCCATGGAGTAATAGTTCCCTGGTTTCCACTGACATGCTGAGTCTCCCTTGATCACTCAGGTGATCAGTCAACACACGAGTTAATTATGGGTGAAGGGGTGTCTGAAGCCCAAAGATCAAAAGATACACACAAGGCCTTCTCCAAGTCATTATTCACCTCCTTAAGCATCAGGCAGCCAGTTCAGATTCCTGCCTCCTGCACTGTCCTTAAATAAAGTGATATAACAGCAGTGAACCTGAATTAGAGCCTCTGTAAGACACAGAATGAAACATTCAATTTCTCCACAAGAAGAGAAAAAAAAGTCCACGTGGGCAAGACCGCCTACATTGGGGAAGTCAGGTATACTCTCATTTAGTTATCATTAAAAAAAAAAAAAACATTTCAGTAATCAGTGGTAGGTGTTTAGAGGTAGAGAACCCAACAGTTTTCCAAAAGAGTCTCACCAGCTTCCCTGGTAAAAATTCCCAAGTTTTAACTGGCATTTCAAGGAGATATTGTCTCAGATATTGTAATCATCTTTACATCCATGTACAAAGAATAGAACTATTGGCAGAAGTTAGGAGCTACTGGATGAAATCATTAGAAGCCCTCCTAAAACGTAAAGGAAAAGCAGTTCTCAAAACTTTTTTTCTCTATTTCAACCACCTTCAAAACTCAAATGCATGCATTAATATTTCCAGAAGTTAATTATAATTATGGTCCTGGATAACCTTGCTGGGCCATTGCAGTAATGTCCTGCATTACTGTGGGGAATGGGCACCACAGCTCCACACTCTCCCTCCTGATTTAAGACCCTGAGAGCCAAATCAACTTGTTGGACAAGTCTGTTGAGCAGATGAGACCCACAGCAGCAAAGAGTTTGTGGTGTCGTGCTGCAGCCACAGGATTGTGTGGGCAGAAAGAACAATCTCCCCAGCAGTAATTACCTGAACTCACTTGGTACCAGCTCAACACCTGCACCACTGAGCTACACCTGTATTTGTCCACCAAGACTGGTTTCTCCACCTTTGTGGTTTTCATGTTCCTCTATTAAAGGGAAGGCAACTGAGCTATACACCTCAAAGGATTTATTTCCTAAAATAACATTGTGATTCCTCCAAAAAGTCACCCTGCCTTTATTTTGGAGGCAAAAGGAACCAAATCTCGCTGAGTTGCAGGTTTGGAGAGATACTTTGTAAGGTCAAACCCTCAAAGGGCTTCAGTGCAAGTGTAACTCAGTGCACACAGTCCCACATATGCTTTCTTCCATATGCAAATAAATGCTATGGATGCACAGCCCACTTGCACGTATCTGCACATGCCAAAGGGATTTACACATGTTAATACTTGGAAAGCAAAGTGAGAATGTATATAAAATGGCATGCACAAAGTGCATTCATCCATGTGCATATCCCTCTGGAGGCAGCACTACTTGGATGTGTTTCTAAGAGGAAAAAACAGTTAAAAATTGATATGTCGCCCTCTCTCCAAAACCTAATGATTACAGTCTGTTAATTGCACCGCATCTGCTGGAACTTTCAGCGAATAAATTGTGGACCTGATCTATTATTTACAATACCAACAGAAACTGCAAATAATGTTTTAAAGTCCCACATATGCAGAGTGGTTGCAGAAGCAAACTATGCCATGCTGTCCCTATCCTGTCACTTCCCCAAGCAGGTACCATATATTGTGACAAAGCTGCTATAATAACCTTTTCTAAATTTTACTTTCTGCAGATGGAGAGAAAGCAGTGAGAGAACATAAAGACTCACATAAAGGAAAAGAACACTTAAAAGATGTTCAAAATATCATGTACAATTAGTCTTAGAGTAGCCCTGCAATGCTCTAGGCCTTGTCTTGCCATTGTTTTGAGCCAAGATTCCCACAGCCTGGGATTCACTCGTTGCCTTTGGAAATAGGTATATGGCAGGGGCTGCTGGGGAGAGAGTTATCTTAGCATAGCTATGCCTTGAATTGAGGCTTTAATTGTGGCATCTCTTCTCCTGGTGTGAAATCCATATGGGTTTGCTGAATTCCCATGTTTTTTACGGCATTTGAACACTGGTACAAATACAGAGTCGCTGATGTGTTCTGCCTTGCACAGAGCCCTGAACCACAGCTCATTTCCCATCACCTCCTGTTCTCTGCAAGCATTACCTGGCATTGCCATTGCTGTGGTTTCTCCAGTAGAACAATTCATCCTTGAAGCAAATAACTGATTTTCCCCCCCCCAAGAGCTGCCCCAGCAAACAATGTGAGGTTTGAAAGTCAAGTTGTATCCCCTCTTCCTTGGCTTTCTCAAACCAGTACCAACATCTCCCCAGAGCAAATGGCAAAATGGCAATTGTCTGGTGTAAACTGGAGCAGAATTGCCACCTTCTGCTGTGCAACAAGAGTTTTGCACTCATTATTATTACTATGAGACCTGAGCATTAGTTAGCTGGCCTCGTTACACAACTCCAGCCAGCCCACTTATCCACCAGAAAGCAAATAACCACTCAGGCTGGAGTTTATGAAACTTCTGGGATTCACAAATGTGTTTCGTGGATTTCTGGCAGTTGTCTGAATGTTCACAAATAATGTGATGCCAGTAATCACAGCAAGTCAAAGCTTGACACTTCTATTCATAAATCAGGAGATGTTTTATTTTTACTGCTTGAACATTTCTGTTCCCAAGCACGATTGGATTTGAACCATCAAGTTGGAGGTGAAAGGACCTTTATTTAATGTATTTGTCTAAGTTTATATGAAATATAAAAAAGTATCTATGCAGGACTCTAGCCACCTTTACCATATATTAAAAAAACCAGGCCAACTCACACAGACAAAAATAAACTTAGTAACTTTCAAAAGGAAAAAAAGGCACAAAAAAGCCCCTTGGGCAGAGACCTCAAATCTTTCTATATAAACCAAATGCTTTTGCAGACACTGTTTCTCTCATCTCCAGAGCCTGGGACATGAAGGGATGTGTCCCTCAGGTTAGGAGAATTGGGACTCTCCCAGGACAGGGTGGAAAGGGAGCACTCAGTCATGCTGCTGCTGAGCAGATCTAGCCAGTATTCTCTCCTTTAAACCAAGAGGACTTCAGCCAAAATGCCTCTGTGGCTTGCAGCTGCAGCACTATCACTAGGGAGACAGAGCAATCTATTAAGCAAAGAGGTTCCAAGATCCAGGACTTGATGCCAAGAGCTATTTTAGCCTCCCCAGCAAGGCTGCAGACACAGGGCAGGACTGCTGGGGGTGGAAACTCCCCCTCAGCACCCCATGGGCACAGAGAGCACCCACAGCCCACACTGCCCAATGCTCCCCTCCTCAGGCTGCCCCTGACCCCAGCCACCCCTGGCACAGGGACTTCCTCCCACTCATACATTGTGAAATACTTTCATTCAACCAGCTCCTCTTTCCACAGCCAGAAAATAGTCAAGTTATCACTCACAGAGTAGAATGTGGAAGAGAAAACCAACTTATGGACTTTGAAGCCTAAATCAATATGAATCCATTAGGATTTTCTACCACAAGTCAGATTGTCTTGACAGACCAGGTTGTGTCCTTCTGCTGCTGGCATCAGCCAAGAGCACCATCCGCTGTCCCACCATCCACTGTCCCACCTATCATCCTCCTTCCTTTCAGTCTCCTTTTGGAGTGTGGACAGGTACATGTGGGAAGGCAGGGACAGAGGAGTGAGACATACCTTATAAAATTGCCTTTTCTCCTCAGAAAGGAGTAGAATGTAGTCAGAATGTAGTCAGCATTCACAAACCTTTTAGTGACAGATTGGTCTCTTCAGAGACAGTCTCAGTTCTCCTAGAGACATCCCTTCACAAAAGTGACAGAGGATGAGCTCTTTACTCTTTTAAATGCTGCAGAAAGGAAGTACCCAAAAGGTTGCAAACAGTTGTCACTCTGACATGCTGTAGGTGATGTTTTTCAAAACCAAAACAGCTAGTCTATGTTTTTTCATTCAAAGCTGTCAACTTTTGGAAAGGTTTCTGTTCAATACATTGAGCAGAGGTTTCTCTTGGACAAGAATTGCCAGTAGGAGACAGGTTAAAGCCCAACAAGCCTGTCCCTTCCATCCATCCTGCCTCTCAGAAAGAGCTGCATCCCATCAGCAGAGAGCTGCATCCCATCAGCAGCTGCCAGGAGAGAGGGGAAACTGCATGCAGGAGAAAAACTCTATCCCTGAGGCTGTGCTCTGGCCAGAGTAGATTTGGATCAGGATCAGGATCCAGCGCAACAAGGCATTGAGAGCACAGTCAAACTTCCTCCCTCCAACCATCTGAAAAGCAACCTGACAGGATTTTCTCCTGGACAGCTCAGCATTTGAACAGGCCAGTTAATGAAAAGCACCTCCCAACTGCAATGACATCCTGCTGCCTCCTGACACTTGCCACTTCCATAACACCATTTACAGCTCCATTGTTGTAACAGGAAGCCCTGAGGAGGAACTGGCTCCTACAACATGTTGCCATCACATTTTAGCCAAGGCTGAGTGTAGCTGCAAATCTCTACAAAATCCAGTGGAGATCTATTAAATGCATAATTTCCCTGGCACTAAAATGTTATTCTTTTAGCAGGTCTGCTTCTTCCCTGGGATTCTGATGAAGTGTGCTCTGCTGTACTATGAAATACACCATGTCTGGGTGTGATACACACAAAACATCTTTGTTTAACACAGCTTGTCTTTTATCGTGTCACTTTTCTATTGGATTTCTTTTCTGTGCACTGGAAGCACATCCTTGTGACAGTTACATTCTTTTCCTGGGAGACTTTGCTGTGTGACCTGCAGTGTCACAGGCAGGACCAGATCCTGCCCAAAAGCACAAGCTGGGCAACTTGATACAACAGAAAGGAATATGGAACAAATAAAGAACCAGGAAAAGCAATACAACACTCCTATCCAAGTGGGCTACAGAGGCAATTTCCAGCCTGAAACACAGATTCGAAACAAAAAAAAACCCTGAACTGCATTTCCTGTATGACACTCATAATTACCTTTCTACACACTTACCAGAGTCAGCATGAGAGCTCAAGAAATCCGGGGATGCCACCAGCACATCCACTTTGCTAGGAGGAGGCAATGTGGAAACAAAGCACAAACCAACCCCGCCAAGCTGGAGTACATCCCCCTCACAACTGTCACTGGTAATTCCTTCCAGATCCTTCAGAAACTGCAAAGAGGAACACATGGTAAATAAAGCTGCTTGGCAGAGGAGGATTCATTTTTCTGCTTCATTGTGGCCTTCTGCAAACACCTGGCAGGATAAAGTCCCATGAGATACTTGCTCTGAAAACTCCCAACTGCTGCACCAGTGTGGTGAACTGGTCCAGCAGAGCTCCACCAAGAGCTGGGTGGTACAGAGAGATTTCTCTCTTTTGGCAGGGGTGAACATCAGGGCAGCCCAGCCATTTTGCACAACCTGCCCTGTGGCTGCCTTCATTGGAATAGGAGATGTTCCCAATCCCCAACCCTTTATGCATCCTTGTTTCCATCCGCAGTGCTCCCTGAGCAGCGCAGCATCTGGGCATGTCCCCACCTGAGCTGGGCTGCACACCAAGCTCAGCCCAGCTCTGCTTGGGCTCCACAAACAGGTGTTCATCTCCCCCAGTGCCTTGCAGGAGCTGCAGGTGAGTACCAAGCACTCCCAGGTGGGTGTGCTCCTCCCAGAGCCTGCTGCTGGGGCTCCTCTGAGCCAAACCACACCACAGCAATGCCCCTGCTCCTTCACTGAGTTACTCAGCACATCCTGAACTCCTGCAGAAATTCCACTGCTCAACCAGAGGGCTTCAAATTAACACTTGCCATACCCCAGAAAGATCCTGCTCTTCACCTCTCCTCCTGTCAAAGCCTTGCTGCTTTCACAAGCAGGGTTCAAGTTTCATGGAGTAAATGGGCAGAGGAAACACCATGATTTTCTTTCGTCTCATGATGATGCTGCTCACTCAGGGATTCCTGCCACTGCCCTATGTTCTGTAAGTAATATAATGCGAAAGATGGAAGACATTCTTAAGAAAGATGATGTCACAACTTATGTACTTTTCTGCTTTGAGCAAACACAGGTTACCCTGAACTTCTTTGGCAATATCACAAACCCCTAAAAGGAAGGATGGACTAAAGCTCCTTTTAGAACAGCCTAGAAAAGGCAGAACATTTTTTTCCTGGATTTTACCTCCAAGTTCCTTGTACTCAAATTGAGCAACCTGAGATGCTGATTGGGGTCCCAAACCCTGGATGAAGTTAGAGGTTGTAGCGACAATATCGTTATTCACCCTTGACACTTTTGGTGTCTGCTGGTGGCTTAAACCAGTCATGTGTTTTCCCCATGTGGTTATTCAGGAGGGAGCCAGCATCTAAAAAGCACATTCATCCAGTCCAAAGGCCAAACCAACGCTTTGATAGTACAAAAAATGGGTTCAAACCCAAAGTCAGGGCCCAAATTCATTCAGCAGTGGGTGAATTTTTGACTTCCCCTTGTACCTCACTCGCTCCTAAGCAAAGTAGATCACACTTTCAGGATTGCTTTATGGACAAGTTTCATTAAAGGTAATTCAGGTGCTTCTGGTAAAGACCAGGCAAGCAGCTGAGGCAGGAGGAAGGTGCATTACAAGCTTCCTTCCCACACCCCTCAGCACAAGGGACTTTCCAAGTCTGATGTTGGATTTCAGATTCATTAAAGCCAGGCAGGAAGAGATGGCTCATATGCACACAGTGCTTTTCCTGCTGATCAATAAGCTTCCTTCCTGCCTGATAACTAAACCACTCATAAGGTTAACAGTGTTATTTAAGACCTGTAGAAACTCTGATTCAAACAAACCAGAAATATCTTGACCTAGATACTGGGAACAAAACAATATTGAGTAAACTTTGGGATTGCCCGTTTATCTATCATTGCACTTGACATTTTATTGAGGAATTGCAACAAAGCTGCAATTTTTCCCCAAATGTACTTACACCAATGTACTTATTCAGAGAGAAAAATCTTCTGGACACATTCCCCCTCTCAATTTAGATTAAAAGGGGTGCATTTTAGAGTCCATTAATAAGGGACATTAACTACCTTTTCAACAACTGCAAAGAGCAAACACTATTATATCAGAACACATAAATCAGTCTTAGCCCTGTCCTTCTGAGGATAAAAGGAGCATGAGGAAAGAAAAAATATAAAGGGTATTTCCACCAGGTTACAGGTGTACAGGCTCAAGAAAGTGACCTGCACTGTAAGAGATAGTCACTGATGCAGAATGGCTCAATAAATGCTTTCAGAAGCACCAACAGGCTGTTGATTCTTTGGGCTTTAAGTAATGCTGGGCACATTTTGCAGCACCTTTGCAAATCAAGGCCTTGCTTTCCTCAAGGTTTGTACCAAAATTCATAGGTTTCCACAAGAAGGCACACCTGCACAGCTTGTCTAACATATCCAACTGCTGCAAAACTCAGGATGACTTGAGCACCCAACCTTCTGTCCAGAGCTGGAGCCTCACAGTTTAATCTAGCTTGTTTCTGCTTATTCCTCTTATCCATGCAAATTTTGGTGCTTACCTGTACATGTTTCGGTAGATGAAGCATTTCAAGTGTTTACCTACCTGGAAAACAGTCTGCTTAAAAGGTAGCAAAGGAAAAGAAGGACTTTCAAAAAAGATCAAATACATCATAAGCTTGGCAGACACTGTAGCCCTGAAACAGCAGTTTGAAACTTGCACCATAACAAATCTTCTCCTATACATTATCTCACAGGAAACAACACATGATAAATTCTTAGCACAATGTGATTCCCCTCCTTCCTCCTCCTCCCCACTTCAGAAAGATTTAACATCTAATTCAGCTTTTGACGAGCTGCTTCATCACTGCGGGAATGCTGTTGATCTCTGTCGGAACCCTGCGGCCTTGGACAGAACAAACTGAAAGGGGAAAAAAAAATTTTGGCCGTCTGTAATGATAAATAAATACATTACAGGATACAACTCTGGGGAATGGAGGCTGACACTGACTGAGCACCATGACCTCCACACAACTGCCAAGTCTCCACCGCTTAACAAAAGTCAACTTTTGTTTGCCTTCTTCCCTCCCCCAATGACAATTTCTTTAAGAGAAAATGCAGGATGGAAAAGGGAAAAAAAAATAAAACCAATAAAAGATAGAGAGCTCCAAACTCTCCTCATCTGCTGCCCAGAGGCACTTTGGTTTTGACAGAACAGTATTTTATTTCTTTGGTCTCCTGGAAATTGGGGGAAACCAGTCCATGCTGCATCAGCAGCAGCGGGACAAGGAAGCTGTGCCACAGGGAATGCTCAAATCCCTTTAAAAATTTTTTTACATTAGGATGTGCCTGCCTTCAGGCTAGTTCTTGGCTCCAATTTGATTTTCTGTCTACTTAAGTCCCACTCACAAAATCAAATATGTATTTCAGCTGTTGGGTCTCCACATTGATGGCAACAATAATTAAGTAGAGAGGAAGCAATTGGTTACCCCATCAGACAAACCACCTCCTCATCCCTGGAAGTATCACCCACTTGTGTCAACCTGTTTCCTAGACTCTCCTTTCCCATATCTCTCTAATCCCTTCCCCATTTCTCTCCAATCATGCAGAAAGGTGATACCTGCTGCCACCCATCCTCATTTTGCAGATGCACAAAGAGATAAATAAAGTGTCACGACAAAGTCAAGTCAAAAGGCAGGTATGGACTGCAAGCATTAACTCTTGTGTCTGCATTGTGCTTGGCACTATTATATTAACTCCATGCACTTTATGGGAACCACAGAGGACTCAGCCCAATCATGAGTTCATGGTCAGGCCCTGAAGACGCATCAACACCTTACAGCAAAGGAGAGCACAGAACCCTCTCACTAGCTCTGGCACAGCTCACTCCAGCCCAGGAAGAGAAGCTGATCAGCCCACAGGCTCACTGAGCAATCCATCCCCAGCACAAAGCTGATGTAGCTACACCACTCCTGCAGCCCACACCAGCATTGCTTCACTGCTCTGTGCACAGGCTCCAGCTCACCCCGAGCTGTCCAGGGACACAAGGCACAGCTTGTTCCAAGAGCTCCTTCTGCTCCCCTTGCTCCCCCAGGGGATGTCTCCTGCCAGCTCTGCCCGTCTCACTGCCGCCACACCGGGCTCTATCTTCACAGCTCTGCGCTTGCAGATCGTTTAACTCAGCTCTTTGCCAAAGCACCTATTTAATCCACTCTGCTCACTGTTGCTACTATTAAAATACTTTGTATTTTCAAATGTCCTGTGACTACTTATGCTTCATAATGTCCCTCTTATTTCCCCCATCGCCTGTCCTTTGTATACACAGCAAAGTGGATAAGGGAGAGATGATTACACTCACCCAAACAGTCGAAGACTCATGATTCAATCCCTTTATCTTCTGTCTCTGGTTGACATTTTTAATTTCTCAATCTATCTTGTTTCTTCCTCCTTAGGTTTAGAGGATTTGAATTGTTTGCTTTCAGTTAAGGGTAGGATCTTTCTAACATGGCTTCTTATATTTGAATATTCTCCTGAACATTTTCCAATGCTTTGAAATTCCCTCTAAGAATACCTGGAGAGAAGTAGTTTTCTTCAGCTTCATCAATTCCCTAAGAGTGTTCTGCTGGGGAATACTTATTTCATATTAATTATATCTTTGGTTGTCCTTGTAGTTGTTCCCTGCAAGTGTAAATTGAGTGCATTACAGTCTCTGTTAGCAAAAGGCTGTTTAAGGCATTGTGGGGGCTGCACCTACAGACAGATTTCCATAAAATCAGGCAGGGGATGTAAGTGGTGCACAAGTGTTCCCCAAACCACCGAGTCCATGTCTTGACCTGCCCATCAGAGCAAGACTGACACTTTCTAGGAGAGAGTGGATAAGGAGAAAAAATATCAAAAATAAATATGAAATTAATTTTCAAAGTTATACATCGCAAACATATCAATTGAGTCAAATGCAAAAAAAACCAAAAGCAGGACAAAACAGAAACCAACCCAAGTGCAGAGAAGCTCTGCCTCTGATGCAGGTACAACAGAAACATGAGCCCCCATCTCAGTCAACAGCTTTGAATGTGAATTCCTCCCTTCAGAAACCAAAGAAGCCTTTGCTGTACTCCACAGCTCATCCACCACAGGCAGCAGCAGCAGAGGGGATCTGCTGTGACCTGTTTGTGTAGCTGAGGGGAAATGCAAAGCTTCTGCAGAAGTCAAAAGCGGGTGGAAATCAGCTGTGGACATCTGGGTGGACACTATCAGCCAGCACAGTCCTCTGTGCTGGCCTGCTTCTGCCTTGCCGCTGCGCATCTCCTACGTGTGCAGCTCTGCCTGTGTGTTTAAACAAAAAGGCTGATAAGGAGTACTTGTCTGTCAGCAGTATCTGAAGCCCACGGCTCTTTGAGAGCACTTGGGTTTACTTGGCGGGTCATGCTGACTCCTTGTGAGCCATTTATCATGACAAAAAACTCCAGAGATTGGCACCGAGCCAGTGTCTTCCCTTCTCTTCCCTCCCCCCAGCCCTTTCTCCCCTCCTGGGTATTGATGCTACATCAAAACAAACCTCCAGTTCACATAGCAACAGAACATTTTTATATAACCCCTGCACAGGAACGCTGCACAAACCATTGGACAATCCCTTGCAAGCACGTTAGGTAATTCCAGGATATTTTGCTGGTTTTTGTCAAAAACACCCCTGACTAAATGAAGTATAAAAAGGGAAGAGGAGCTTTTGCACGTGGGCCAGATTTGAAACACGACTTGGCACCAAGGACATCAGGGGATTAGGGCACCTATTGGTTCCATGTTCTAAATTTTGCCATTTTCTATCTCACTTGGAATCAAACTGGGGAGTCCAAAGCATTCAAGCCAGTTTGTGCATAATGTAATTGAAAGCAAAGCAATGCTGAAGGGATCTGCTGAGTCAGGGCTTTAATGAGACAAAGACAGAAATTTAGATTTTGGTGGACACTGAAAACTCCCATTGCTATCCAAAGCAGAG